ACTGTATAACCTGGGTTGGGGCAGTTTACGCTTTAAAAACCACCAAGCGGTAAACTGCTCCAATCCAGGTTATAGCAGTATAATTTGGGTTGCTACTTAAATCATTCCTTATAATTTAATTTTCAATCATTTAGAATAAAAAACAAGACAATATCTCTCTTTAAAACGCCTTCAAATTGTTCATATTTCAAACGTAACGTCAAGCGGATTGATACGATTTTGACGTAAGTCATTGTGACGTAAGCAAACCAGATTATACAATTTAGATTAATTTTTTATCCAATCAAATGACGCGTTACAATCAAAATTAAATTATTATGATTTGACTTATTAAAACGGTTTTCGTGAATGTAACTTTGTGAGTTGTCATCTTGTTACACGATTGTGTCTTGTTAAAGTATGAAAACAGATACTGAGCCCCCATCACTGCAAAACTGGCATTATTTCAACGTATTAAATCAATTAGGAGAAAAGTAGCAGGGGCATGGTACCAACAAGGACATTGTATTTGTTCTCTCACATATTTTATGGTATAGTTTTACAGTTAACCGATTTGCAATGTTAAATTGTTATCTCTAATTCAAATTAATTTACAACACTACTAGAAACCTTTGGATATCTTAATTTTAGGTTTTCTTTCTTCCTCCTTTTTGAATCTGATAATTTTATTTGAAATGTGAGAAATCTTTTTTCTAGACTTAAAAACACACACAATGTACATGTATAAATCTTCAGAATGACTTTCTTTTCAGAGTTCCTACACTATAGGGCAAAATCGGAATTGATGAAATCAAAAAAAATATTAATGAATAATATAATATTCATTAACATTTCTCCGATGCATAACGCATGATAGACTATATCAGTAAGATTTTGAAACGGAACAAGGAACAATATTGTAGTGTTTTATATTTTTTTTGTTCAGTGCAGTGTTCATTGTTGACCGAGTATAAACTGAACTAAAATTCACAATTTTTTAAGTTTTAAAGAACAAATGTATACAATAAATAAAATCTTTAATTCATGGTTAATGATGCATATTTCAGTTTGCTTTTGCGTAAATTTCATGTAAGTATCTTGTCAGAATTTTAAGCAAAGAGTCAAGGAAATTGATTGATTGATTGTATACTTTTTAGGTCCCTCTCCAGAATATTTCACTGATATGGAGACGTCACCATTACTGGTGAAGGGCTGCAATTTTAGGCCTATGCTCGGCACTTACGACCTTTGAGCAGGGAGGGATCTTTATCGTGCCACACCTGCAGTGACACGGGGCCTCGGTTTATACGGTCTCATCCGAAGGACCGCCCCATTTAGTCGCCTTTTACGACAAGCAAGGGGGTACTGAGGACCTAATCTAACCCGGATCCCCACGGGGTATGATATACCCTCAAAATGAAAATTCGCATAAAATAATTTTGATGGAGTAAGACCACCACTCACTCTAATTACTGCAGGATATCCTTTACTGTTGGATGCCATGTACCCCTGAATAGGAGATTGACCTATCTGCTGCCAAACCTACTGCATAGCTCTTTCTAAACCGTTGAAATTGTGTGGAGGGGAGCGGGGGGCTTTGAAATTCCTTATCAAAATCCCAAATGTGTTCATTGGAACTCAGATTCGATTTGGCAGTGCATCATCACACAGATCCCTTTTGGCCAATATCCTTAGGCGTTTTGTACATAAGTACACCGCTTTAAGAATGATTCAGACTGTTTGAAATGATATTAGACTGCCACGAACACCCATTTCATTTCACTTTCATCCGATTAAAATTGTTTGTTTTCATGTTTCTTAAATTCTTTCAGGACAATTTAACACTCATCTGAATTTTGTCTAAAGCTTTTAAGTGGTGAGAAATTGGCGATGTAAATGTCAATGTATTGTGACGTCATGAAATATATCCTGTAAATTCCTATAAAAGGCCAAAATTGGATGTCTTGAAAACATTTATACATAGTACAACCTTGATCAAAATCAAACACTTAAAAAAAATTAAGTAACTGTTTCTGAAGATCATTTTTTTTTATCTTTGGAAAGAGAGACGTGCTCATATTTAATACTTAAGGTACACAAAAAGACGCATGTTTTCTGCAACATTGCATTTTACAAAACCTGTTTGCCAATACCAGCATTCCCCTCCTAAAATTGTGTTACGTATACATGATATGAGAGCACTAATTCTTTTTTATTTTGAAATATGAAATGGGGAAGAGGGTGGTAGTAAATTGTATGCGGAAAGCTCAAGTTAACTGAAAATGCAACTTTTCACATAGATATCGTAGTAGAATTGATGCAAGCTATTATAATGTATTTTTCATAATGTGGTAAATTGTGCGATATACGCAAAAAAAAATACTATTCAGAAATCGTCATATTAATATCAATTCTCTATAAAAATCAAAATTTTAAATAGGGTCGTGGACATGACATATCTCCGATTAAGCTGAAATTAACACCATTTACTACAATTGGTATGTCTTTAATAAATATGATGTTAAAGTCTAACTTTTCAATTTGGTTGCCATGGTAACAGGGATGTAATATTTAGAACCCTCTGATGAAGCAAATTTTGCTCTGTTTTAAATTAAATTTGTGCACATTCAATTAATTAGTAAAAATTCACATGAAAATTATATTATGTGAGCTCATATTACTAAAATCTGAGAAATTAATTTCATTCAAAGATATTTGAATGAAGATTAAGCGAATTTTCATTGCAGCATTAAGGTTGTTAGCAAATTGGCAATTTGCCAAATTTGTCTTTTTTAGTCATATTCAATGAAATTTTTCACCATTTTGACAACTGATATATTTGTAACCATGTATCATTAAATAAACTATATATTCTAAGGTTTTATGAGAATAAAAAAAATTAATAGGTAAATCAAAAACTTTCTAGAAATTATTGCATGAAAATTGGCAATTTGCCAAAATTGACTTTTTTAGTCATATTCAATGAAATTTTTCACCATTTTGACCACTGATATATTTGTAACCATGTATCATTAAATAAACTATATATTCTAAGGTTTTATGAGAATAAAAAAAATTAATGGGTAAATCAAAAACTTTCTAGAAATTATTGCATGAAAATTGGCAATTTGCCAAAATTGACTTTTTTTTGTCATATTCAATGAAATTTTTCACCATTTTGACAACTGATATATTTGTAACCATGTATCATTAAATAAACTATATATTCTAAGGTTTTATGAGAATAAAAAAAAATTAATGGGTAAATCAAAAACTTTCTAGAAATTATTGCATGAAAATTGGCAATTTGCCAAAATTGACTTTTTTAGTCATATTCAATGAAATTGTTCACCATTTTGACAACCGATATATTTGTAACTAGTATCATTAAATAGACTTTATATTCTAATGTTTTGTGAGAATAAAAAAAAAATAATAAATTAATGGGCAAATGTACAAATTATTGCATGAATGCCACCCCCCCTCCATTAATCACAAATAACAGAGAAGATCATCTAAGAACATGTATTACCAAACTGAACAAATTGTTGTGTAGTATGAATATATGTCAAGTATTTAAATTTCTTTTCAATAATTAAATAGAACTTCTGAAATTAACTCAGTGACAGGTAAATTAAAATGTTCCCATGGAAACAAATCAGGCTTCTAGTTATTTTAATCTAAATATGAAATAAAAGAAGTGAGTTTCCAAAAATTCTTTCAAATCTTTTAATGGCCTGTAATTGTGTCCAATCCTTTTGATTTATTCACTAAAATATGTTCAAATTCAAAACAATTGTTTTATGGTTAATTTTTAAAATGTATAATTAAAGTAAAAAGGCAAACTCATATTTAATAAATGATATGAAAGTATTTTATGAAAATATGAAAGTAGGTCAGACAATATTATGTCAAAACAAGTTGGCAAGACCATCTTGATTATAATGTTTGTTTGCCCTCTCCCAGCTCAGGGTAAAATTATTAAGTCGCCTTGTTAGGTAGGTTGTAAAATCTTTTTCCCAAAAAATTTCATAATATTTGTTGACGAGATAAGATGGATAAAAAAAACCATCCTGTCTTGCAATGTAAAAAAAGTTTTGAATTTTAGTTAGTCTGTTGGGGGAAGGCAGCCAAATTTCTTTAAATGAACTTATATGCTAAATATTGTGGAATTAATTTTTATTACCACATTGCTTATCAGCATATTCAGATGATCAGTTACATGTATACTATGTTCTTTTAATGGGTATAAATATTTTTAACCATTTGACCTTGACCTTAGACATTGACCGACTTAAAAAAACTTTAACCTTAACCACAACCTTTGAAGTTGGACTAGATTTTCATATTTCACAGGTGTTTTACTTGTGGCAAGACCTTTCTTGGGATACCTTGTGGGAGTCTTGACATAAGCTGCAATGTATGGGGGAATCAGTGTTTCACAATTAATCTTGTTCTCAGTTTTGTTAAAATGTATTCATATATATTCTAATCATACATAACATACTGTGTGAAGCCTGCCAATATAAAACTCTAAATTTGTGAGCCCATGTGGGTGTATATAATAAATCAGTATACCACCTCTCCTGCAGAGAGGGGATATAAAAAGGGAAGAAACTGCTCTGCATAAAACTGCTTTTATAGAAAAAAATTAACAAGACATAAATTGGAATGTGTGCTTCACTTAAACAGTGACATTTTTTGAAAATACAAGAAATCAATTTAGAATACACATATTCTCTAAGGAAAACAGATGCCCTGCTTAAAAAAATTTTGCTAAAATTTGTTCCTTCCTATTCTCTCATTTGATATAAGCTTGGTTTCCTCGAATTCACATTTCTTTATGTCCTTTTGTGTAAGTTGGAAAAGTAGCTCAGCCTTGCAGTATTGATTTGCTGTGGATTTTCGTAATGATCATTAGAAAACCCTCTCTATGTCCATCTTGCACCAGTGACAACTTTTACTGGATCCTCTTTTCTTTCTGTTATTTTTTCCTACTTTGTATTTTTCATGTAAAATTTACTTCCAGTCCACTTTGAATTTTTTTTTTTTTTTTTACGGGGGGGGGGGGGGGGGGGCTGTATGTCCTCTGCTCTGGTCATCTCTATCTGTTCACATGAAAATAAAAAAAAAAACATTAATTTTTGGTCACTGTGGATAAAAATTCATTTAAAAATTGTTTCAAAAACTTAAAACTGGAATCTTAAAATTTTGCTATATATAAAACATATACATTTTCAACCTATAAACATTATTATCTCCCTTTATGCATTGTTGTGGCAATCATGTCTTAAGGTCAGACAACACGTTCCTAAAATGTATGTTTTTAATTTCTTGGTAATATATAACAAATTATTCATATTTGTCATTCTATTCTGATTTCTACATTGTTTTTAAAATGTTTTTGAAATTAAGTAAACCAAAAATTGCGTTATAGGTTTTTAGAAGATTACCCATAAGGTTTATATAAGAAATATGACCCTGTGGTATCTTGGTCAAATGCCTGGTAAGGTACCTTAATTTTTTGTGAGGAAACTGGTTTAAATACTTATATTTCAATGACAATTTCTTAGGAAAAATTATATATTTTTGAGGAACGTGTCGTCTGACCTTAAGTCACCATGAATCCATGCAACTTAATACACACTACATGTACCTGTGTGGTCTCCTTGCTAGAGGATCTGTAATCCTGAGAATCTTCATTAGGAAAATCTTGCAAGGGCTGCAATGATCAATTTAAAATTATTTTTTAATATGAAAGTTTGGGTTAAAATCCTGAACATCATATATATATAACATGTACCTTATATTTACATGTTATCCTGAAAATTTTCTGAATCAAGAGGAATGATTGATAAAGGAGTGGATTTAATGTTGTAATCAAGCATTTTTTTTTCAATTTACATATAAAGCTTTTCTGCAGTTTGGACAAATCGCCAGAGATATAGAAACGAAGAGTAGAAATGAATTTGACAAGAATTAATTTCTAAAGTGGAAAATAAAATGTATTTATATAATCATAAATTAATTGTAATAAAAACATCCATGTTTTATGGATACTAACGTAATGTGGTATAATTTATTTTGTTCTTTAATGCGACTATTTTTAATTTGTACAATATGTCCCTGACATGTAAAGTACACAGCATCAGACTGATCTCATCTGTACAGATCAATATTGTCAAACTAAAACTATTCATATTTAAAATGTGTGCAAGATTGATATGCCTGCAATATATAGCTGAAAAACAGTGATCAGTAAAATAAAATTATGAGACGGAAAGCTGCATCTTGGAAAGTACAAATGGAGTTGCCATATTGAAAAACCCTTGGATAGATTTCTTTTCCTACTTTACAATACATCACCTTGCAGAGCAAATAAATTCACTGTATCAAGGTCCCAAAAATGATTTCACAATAGTTATGACAAAGTATATGTACTTAGATCTTGAACACTATTACCATTTGTAAATCTGTGTGTTTGCATGTACTTTCATAATTTTACACTTACACTTTTTTAATCAATTCTTTAAAATATTCAACAGTCCTGATATTGCTTAAAATTTCAAAAAATCTAACACACTATTCAGTTATCAATGTCAGAAGTCAAAAGTTTAATATTTCCGAGGTATGATTTCTACAAATCCTGTTTGTAAAAATAGATTGGACACAAGCATATTATAATTTGGAAAAATAAATTCATACAAACAATTTTCTTCAAATATACTGAATTTTATAGAAAATAAAATACCAGTACCCAAAACAGGCACATATATTGCACAGTAGTATTTGATTCAATGTCATGTACATGTAATATGTGCAACTGAGTTTTCATGGTTTTGTTTGTTTTTATTGTATTATATTTCATTATACAGTCAGTTACCTAATCCGAGATTCCTCTGACTCTAACCCCTGCTTTTATATTGTAACTTGTGCGCACAAGTCACAATATAAAAGCGGGGGTTAGAGTCAGAGGAATCTCGGATTATCAGTTACCATGCAGGTACACACAGGTACATGTGATACCTGAATAGAATTATGTCATATGAATAAAAAAATACTTACACATTGTAATTGGGATCGGTCGGGGACTACCACACTTCTACATTTATCTCTCGATCTCTATTTCAAAGACATCTTGAAGGGAACAGCTAAAATCCTCTCGGCCTTCGCCCCCATACCACCCTGATTTCCTCATATTTTCTTTTCTACGAGTAGCTATACGTGTAATACTCATCATGTCCAGATCAACCCTTTGGCTTTTCTTAAAGATTATCCCAACTTTGTCAACTGTTTGTCATCAAATTCTGAGTCTCTTGAGGTAGAATTTTCCTGAACAAGATGTTTCAAAACAAGAAGAAAAACTGCAGATTTCATTGTCTGCCATCTTGTTTACAATTTACACATTTTGTATTCTTCAATGCCGAAGAGCTCCAACAAGGGAAATAACTCGGATAGAGAAAAAGCACATCTAGCCCAACTTTATAGTGTAATAAAACGTTTATTTTTCATTTACCCATAAATGTTTTAAATGATATTTGCAAAATAACATTTCTTGAATCTAAATCTTCCTACTAGAATTTTCACATCACTTGTCAAAGTCTTTAAATATTAAGTCTAACAACGGAGGTAACGAGGACTAATTATTCACTTTTTGGGCATCAGAAAATTAGAAATTGTAAAATTTTTGTGACCTTGGCTATTTTTTACATAGTTTTGATTGTCATGAAGGATATAAAAAAAAATATGAACATAAACAGCTTTGTCTAGTAAATATTTTTTGATATTATTGATAAATAGCAAAATCCACTATAATTTACACCTTCAAGTCCCGTTTCCATGGCAACCGGATAAACTACCATGCTTTCTTTCATATAGTCAATCTTTTCATTCATTGAAGTTTCAGTAAGAAAAAAATTAGCTGAATCGAAGACATCGCGTGGCCACGTCATTTTGATATTTACGTAGAATTGGTATTAAATCTATACTAAATTGTTGAAAAAAGAACAAGATCCGCTAAATACCGCTAAAAGGGAAAATTGAAGTATTACAATTATGTAGTTATCTTTAAACTGTATGTTACACAATCAATTTAATGATACAACGAAATTGTTATCGTACGGTCTATCTATAGTAAATTTCACAGTTTTCCCAGAATGCACGACCATAAAGCTTAGCATGCGTATTCAAGGAATTTGGACTGACGTAGTTGCTAGCGCTCGAGAGTGCTAGCTATTATCATGGACTTGCAATGCACGTGTCATAATCAGATGGCAGGGGATGCTCGCTCCTGCATGTCACCCGATCCCAACTCTGATGATTTGGAGGTCCGTGTTTGCTTTGCTCCTCTTTTGTATTATTTTATGTAATGTTGATCTTGAATACGGGCCATCATCTCCATGTTTCATAGATTTAAAGGACTGTAGTTTTGACTTTTTTCTCACAGCTTTTGTTTAGTCTTTTTATTGGCGTTTTAAAAATATTAATAAGTTGTAAGTTGAAATTGTACACTTATAGACAATTACTGCATGTCATCACATATGGCACCTGCTTATTTTTTTCAAAAATTTTATTATCCTGTGACCACCTTTGTCTGAAACAAATGCCACGTAAGCGATTATGTTTGTCGATTTTTGAACAAAAAAGGACATAAACGTTTTCAGAAACATATATTATTTCATTTTGTAAAACATCAATTGATATTTATTAGATGAATCATTAACAGATATAATTTATAACACGTGTTTTCAAGTTTCAGCGCGATATTATTTTATATACGTTAAATCTACGAGCCTCAAGTACATGTGTACTCAATGAAAGTTTTAAAAATTTAAATCAGATATACATTTATTTTAATGAATTCATAAATTTTATAATACAATGAAACTAAATGAATCGGTACATATCGTACTTTCTTTTGTTTTTTAATCAAAATAAGATGTTACAATGTAAGAATTCCCAAGATACAGACCCTGAAACGTTCTACTTTCCCATTTTTCCGTTTGCTCACCCTTCCTTCAGCGTTCGTTCAAAGTGCGTTTACCGTTTGCTCTCCGTTCACAGTTTTGCGTTCACCGTTCACAAAACGTTCACCACTTGCTCTTTGTTCCGTTTACTTTGCGTTCACCTTGCGTTCACAGTTCACTTATCGTTCAGTCTTCATTGACATTCGGAACTCCGAAGTGAAAGGACTAATCTTTTTGAGGGTAAGAATTTATACGTTTTTTTTTAAATTAAATAATTAAGTTATCGTTTTTGAAAAAATAATTATTTCATTGCAAAAAGTATCTACTATTTTTATATTTCTTTAATCATAACCTAATTAGCTGTTATTTTTTCCATGAATTTTCCCTGGAAAATAAACCATTAAGTACCAGCATTTATGTAGAACATACTAAAATATCAAATTTAAATAAGGACAATGTACAGATGATTCAAGCACGGCAACATTTTGTTGTCATGTAAAAGACAAAAAATCAATTACAAATTAAAAAAATTACAAGACAAGTATACAAAAAAATTCTAACACGTATTTTAAAGAAGATGCACGAAAACATATTTGAGCTACATGAAGGTCTGAGAATTATGGACAGTACTGAAGATATTTAGTTAATTAAATATCTTTAGAGCTTATTAAATTGATAATGTGATTTTAAATGTTTGAAAAGACTTACTGTTTAAAATGTAAAAAAAAAATATATTTTTTTCTACTTTACGTTGTCTATTATTAGATTATTAGTGAGGGAAAATTCCTTCCTTCACCGTACCTAAATTTAAATTTGATTCAGAGCCCCCCCCCCCCCCCCCCTCCCCCTCCCGTGCAACTTTTCACCCGAAATCTAATTCTTAGTTACTATTTTCAGTATGTTTTAATAAATGTTTTATGTTCAACAGTTCTTTAAACAATACAAATTTTGCAGCAGAAAAAACACGGACCTCCAAAACATCAGAGATAGGACCAGATGCAATGGAGGAGTGAGCATCCTCTGCTGACTGGTTACATCCGCATCTTGTCATGACTGGAAATTAAGAACGGAAAAAATCCCTTGATATTCGACGTGTAAATACATGTTAAACAAGAGGCCCAGGGGCCACATTGCTCACCTGAGCAATTGGCTAGGAAAAAACACAGATCAGATCAGAACTGAAAGTAAACTGGGGGAGGGGGGGGCTTGAATTTTACACCCCTCCCCAGGGGGTCATGATTTGAACAAACTTGAATCTACACTACCTGAGGATGATTCCCTATGAATATAATGAAACCTGGCTTTGAAGTACTTGAAAAGAAGATTTTAAAAGGTTTCCCTCTATGCTCCTATGTAAAACTTTGATCCGGCATTGTGGCCCCACCCTACCTCCTGGGGTCATGATTTGAACAAATATGAATCTACACTACCTGAGGATGATTCCACATGTATTTCATCTATCCTGGCCCAGTGGTTCTTGAGAAGAAGATTTTTATAGATTTTTCCTATATATTCCTTTGTAAAACTTTGATCGGCCATTTTGGCCAAACCCTTCCCCCGGGGTCATGATTTGAACAAACTTGAATCTACACTACCTGAGGATGATTCCACATGAGTTTCATCTTTCCTGACCCAAAGGTTCTTGAGAAGATTTTTAAAGATTTTCCCTATACATTCCTATGTAAAACTTTGATCGGCCAATTTGGCCCCACCCTACCCCCGGGGGTCATGATTTGAACAAACTTGAATTTACACTACCTGAAGATGATCCCAAATGAGTTTCACCTTTCCTGGCCCAGTGGTTATTGAGAAAAAGATTTATAAAGATTTTTTCTATATACACCTGTATTGTAATGTAAAACTTTGATCGGCCATTTTGGCCCCACCCTATCCCCGGGGGTCATGATTTGAACTAACTTGAATCTACACTACCTGAGGATGATTCCACATGCATTTCATCTTTTTCTGGCCCAGTGGTTCTTGAGAAGAAGATTTTTAAAGGTTTTTCCTATAAATTCCTTTGTAAAACTTTGATCGGCCATTTTGGCCAAACCCTTCCCCCGGGGTCATGATTTGAACAAACTTGAATCTACACTACCTGAGGATGATTCCACATGAGTTTCATCTTTCCTGACCCAAAGGTTCTTGAGAAGATTTTTAAAGATTTTCCCTATATATTCCTATGCTAAACTTTGATTCCTTATCATGGCCCCACCCTACCCCGGGGGGTCATGATTTGGACAAACTTGAATTTACACTACCTGAAGATGATCCCAAATGAGTTTCACCTTTCCTGGCCCAGTGGTTATTGAGAAAAAGATTTTTAAAGATTTTTTCTATATATTGTTATGTAAAACTTTGATCGGCCATTTTGGCCCCACCCTATCCCCAGGGGTCATGATTTGAACTAACTTGAATCTACACTACCTGAGGATGATTCCACATGCATTTCATCTTTTTCTGGCCCAGTGGTTCTTGAGAAGAAGATTTTTAAAGGTTTTTCCTATAAATTCCTTTGTAAAACTTTGATCGGCCATTTTGGCCAAACCCTTCCCCCGGGGTCATGATTTGAACAAACTTGAATCTACACTACCTGAGGATGATTCCACATGAGTTTCATCTTTCCTGACCCAAAGGTTCTTGAGAAGATTTTTAAAGATTTTCCCTATACATTCCTATGTAAAACTTTGATCGGCCAATTTGGCCCCACCCTACCCCCGGGGGTCATGATTTGAACAAACTTGAATTTACACTACCTGAAGATGATCCCAAATGAGTTTCATCTTTCCTGGCCCAGTGGTTATTGAGAAGAAGATTTTTAAAGATTTTTCCTATATATTGTTATGTAAAACTTTGATCGGCCATTTTGGCCCCACCCTACCCCCGGGGGTCATGATTTGAACAAACTTGAATTTACAGTACCTGAGGATGATCCCACATGCATTTCATCTTTTTCTGGCCCAGTGGTTCTTGAGAAGAAGATTTTTATAGATTTTTCCTATATATTCCTTTGTAAAACTTTGATCGGCCATTTTGGACCCACCCTACCCCCGGGGGTCATGATTTGAACAAACTTGAATCTACACTACCAGAGGATGATTACATATGAGTTTCATCTTTCCTGGCCCAGTGGTTCTTGAGAAGAATATTTTTTTCAAAATGCCTTTAATTTTTCACTAATTCATAATTATCTCCCCTTGAAAAAGAGCCAGGCCCTTCCTTTGAACAAACTAGAATCCCCTTTACTCAAGGATACTTTGTACCAAGTTGGTTGAAATTGGCCCATTGGTTCTTGAGTAGAAGATAAAAATGTGAAAAGTTTACGACGACAACAACGACAACAACAACTACGACAGACAACGGACAAATTTTGATTAGAAAAGCTCACTTGAGCCTTCGGCTCAGGTGAGCTAATAATTTATATGAAAACGCGAGTAAGCGTTTTACTTAATGGTAATTTGTATTTGCTGACAAGTTCAATGTATGAACTAAAGAACTTACGAAAAGATGACTTTACACAATAATGCCGATATTCTCCTTCAATCAACTTGTTTGTCAATAAATTATCTTATCGTTCTAGAGCATGCTCTTGCGTTTCAAATTAACCGAGAGATAATTACCACAGATGTGTGTGATGAAGGAATATTGCTGCATAAGTAAGGAACGTTGCTGATTGGAAAGTTAAAGTCATCCCGTTCATCATAAAGCTTGTCTGTTTTTTATTGACCTCTTCCTAAATCCATACATTTAAGAATACTTTTTTAATCAGTGTTTCCAAGCTCCTTGAGGGAATGCTTACTACCATCAAGAATGATGTACCCTCAGCTTACTGAAGATCTTAGCTTTAAATATTGCCGGTTTATGGTAATACCTTTAATATTTTTTGCATAAAATAATTTGGAATTCTAAACTTTTTGCACAAATTCTTAATGAAGGATAAGACTGAGTCTGCCTAAAGGCAACGCATGAAAAAAAATATGGCAATGAAGTCATAATGAGGTCAGACGTCATGA